CAGCTTGCAGCCGAGACGCCTAGGGTGTTGGGTTTAGGGTTTAGGGTTTAGGGTGTCGGGTTTAGGGTTTAGGGTTTACGGGGTCGAGTTTAGGGTTTAGGGTTTAGGGTGTCGGGTTTAGGGTTTGGGGTGTCGGGTTTAGGGTCTAGGATTTGCTAGGGTTTTGGGGTTTAGAGTGTAGAGTGTAGGGGGGAAATATGAGCACCCCAAGTAGGGTCTTCCGACTTCTGACTCTGCGTAGAACCGACTAAAGCCCTGAGCACCAAACCCTCCAAAGCCCAAACCGTAAGCCCAAGTCCCAACGTAACCCCAACCCAGAAAAAAACCAAGGAAAGACTGAAACTACGAATCCCAAGAGTAAGAGGCAAAGAGGCTCGGACTGGTGGACCACTCAGGGTGGATTTCCATCTCGGGATCCTGTTATCTCAGCCCAGTTCACTGCGACGGGTCATAATAGTACGAGCTACGGGGTTTAGGGTTTAGGGTACCAGTAGTGGTACCAGTTCCAGCAACCGTACCCCAACTGCTTGTAGCAGTAGCATTAGTGCTAAGCATCAGCACTGGTAGCGATCGTCGTTGGCGGTCGAAGTGGCTGGTTTTGGTCGTCGCAATGGCAGCAGCAGCAGCAGCAGCAGCAGTAGCAGCAGCAGCAGCAGCACCACCACCACCACCACCACCAACAGCAGAGCAGTAGTGTAATAGTGGTCGTGGTCGTGACTCGCCGCCGTCGTCGTGGTAGGAGGAGGGGTAGTTGCAGTCGTTGTTGTGGTTGTTGCTGTTGCTGCTGTTATAGCAATAGAAGGGGGTGGGGGGTCGGGGGTACAGGGTAGTCAAAGCAAACCCGAAAAAGGCTCGGGATGTCAGCATGAATGCTTGAGTTTTGGGGGGCGAAGGCTGTAACCCTAAACACCTAAAACCCCTAAATCCCTTAAACCCCTAAACCCCCTAAACCCCTAAACCCCTAAACCCTAGACCCTAAACCCCTAAATCCCTAAACCCTACATGTAGTACTTTACCGAGCCGCTGACGGAAGCCGCCGGAATCCTAAACTCGAATCCCAAGCCCGTGAACCCCAAAACTCGGGTTTAGGGTTTAGGGTTTTTGTTTTTAAGTGTGTGTTTAGGGTTTAGGGATAAGGGATTCGGGTTTAGGGTTTAGGGTGCCCGTGAACCAGAAAACTCTAAATCTGACTCATCTGATGCCTAAGATACGGGCCTTAATACTTGGAATAGGGTTTGGGGTTTAGTGTTTAGGGTTTGGGGTTTAGGGTTTAGGGTTTGGGGTTTATTACACTACAGTTATAGGGCTCTACTAACGGCTTAGGGTTTAACATAGGGGCCTTAATACTTGGAATAGGGTTTGGGGGTCTATTCTACGATAACTACAATAAGGAATTCCTGAAAATAGTATTGGGAAAAATTCGATCCCCTGTATTAATCTTGCAATCGAAGACACTTCCACGAATTTCTGGGCAGTCCTTCCGCTTAAGTCCATCCAATCGGGAGAGCAGGTAGGCGACTTCAACGTCCTGGGCCAGATTTCTGCGGCTTGAGTCGGGCACTTTTCTCGGTGGCTCCCGAGTGCCGTGCTTGTGGGGGCACACCTAAACCCTAAACGGTTTGGTTTAGGGTTTAGGGTTTAGGGTTTAGGGTTTAGGGTTTAGGGTTTAGGGTTTAGGGTGGAGGCTTGGGTGTACCAAGGGCTTGGGGCTCGGCCCGTGCCCATAGACCTTCCACCCGGGCCGTGAACTCCCTCTTGATGCGACAACTTCGATTTTCCGGGGACTTCTGGCTTCAGCTTCAGGCTTCAGGGTTCTATGATGATGTAAGGTTTTACGCTTCAGGGGTTTTTTGGGTTTCAAGGTTCGTGCTCAGGGTTTGCAGAGAAGCAACTTATCCCCAAAAGCCTTGAAAAAGCCCTAAACTGCGTGCCTTTGTCAAGGGCATGATGTACTCCTGGAAAAGCGTTCCGATGTACTCCGCGTTGACCTGGTTCTCGTTCGTTCGTTCAGATTTGAGGGCTTCCGCTTCGACGATGTTGTGGCATGTACGTGACTTCTGCTCCGCCCTATCACTGCGCTCTTCTTAGGGTTGGCATGTATTTACATATACAGAGAGAGAGAGAGAGACATAGAGAGAGAGACATATTATATGTATATGCATGTACACTTATGTGCATGCATGCATGCATGTATGTATGTATGTATGTATGTATGTATGTATGTATGTAGGGTCTCGGATCGAGCGTCCCCGTAGGCGCATTGCCAGTCCCCTTTGTGCAATTGCACACAAGAGCCATTGCTGCCCACCCCCCTTCGCCTTGCTGGCACAGGCGGCTAAGGCGCAAGAGAGCCACTGCCCGCGTCAGGATCCGGCGGGCGAGACAGGCTGGACTCCAGCCATCCCACTCTGACCTGGTTTTCCTTTCCAGGCATCACGCAAAGCCAGCTTACCGCGAGCTCTTCCACCACATGGGAAAGCGTGGAGGATGGGGCGAACAATGGTCGCATGGATACTGGCCGCAGCATGGTGGTGCTACGGGCTGGAACAACAAGCAGAGCAAGGGCACGGGCAAGAAGGGCAAGGACAAGGGTGGAGATTACAACCCCGAGAATGCCCAAACCAGCTTCCCCTCCTACGAAACCATGCCAGCGAAGACCAAGGCAAGCAGCGCTGTGACCCAATGGGGGAACAATGCAGCAAGCAGCGACCTGGCAGCTGGGCAGGGCAACATGGTCCGCTACGTGCAGAAGCTTGCCAACACCATCCGCAGGGCGGATGGCAAGCTCAGGAAGTGCGATCTGGACCGGAAGGAGACGGACGAAAAGTGGGAAGAATACCAGAAAGGATTGAAGCAATCCTTTCTGAGGGAGCGCAAGCGATACTACGAACGTCTCGAAAAGGTCCAGGCCGAGAAGGACGAGTTCGTGGGCCAGAAGGAAGAGGCAGTGGTTGCACTGCAGAGGCTCCTGGCCAATCCGGAGGAGGCAATGCGCCCGGTGGTAGAGGAGGCCCCGGGGGATGCACTCCAAGAGTGGGACACCTTGATGCAGGAGACCGAACAGGAGCAATGGGAGGGCATACCGAACATCCTGGCTGGCGCTCTGCGAGGCAACGGTGGCCCGCCTACAAGTGCACAGAAGCAGCTCTTTGGAGCTCTCGGCCTCACCATCCCAACGACCGTGGCGCCCAGGACCCCGCCAAGACGCTCCGCACAGCCTCCGGCGATGACCCCCCCTGCGACTTCCAGCAAGCAGGAGGAAGCCCACCCATTGGAGGGTGGACAAGCGGCACCGACCTACACTGGTCCAGATGCAGCCACCTCCAAAGATCCGTATATGGTGTCCCCTTCCCATGGGGGGGGCGCCACCCCACTGCCAAGAGCACGGTCAAGATCCCAAGCCAGCCTTCCGCGCACTTCGGTCAAGGGGAAGGTGAATGGCCCTGTTCAGACAGGGAAGCATGCCTCCCTTGCGGAGAAGCTCGACAAGAAGAGAGTCGAGGCCTCCTTGGAGGACATCTTGGACTCCGAGGACGAGGACATGACCCTGGGCGAGCTCAAGGACAAGGCGGGGGGAACGGACGTGGAGTAGCATATGAGCCGAGGCGCAGTTATAACGATGGCGGCTTTTTCGGTCCGTCCGCAGCATCTTCCTCTCTTGGGGCATGCTCGGGGAGCAATGCCAGCGAGGTGATGCACATCGTGAAACCCCCCTTTGAACTGGTGGATGAGAATGCCGGTGTAGACGTCGAGTTAGGATTGGTTCCTGCCAGCCAGCACAGAGGCAGGCCCCCTTCTCTACGTCGAGGTTTTGACGGTCATCTATGTTGGGTACATGATGACCACGGGCACGGCCCTACGGGAGGCCACGACCCAAACAACCATCGATGTCACTTTTGGGACATCATGGACTTCGTGGAGGCTGCGCTACGTCTCCTCAATGAGAGGGCCCTGACGGCTATGCAGGCGATGCAAAATACCAGCAGGGCATGGCTGAATACCATTGCAGCCATACAGTTCCTGTCGATTCTACTTATCGGCATGAACAAGTGTGCGGCTGGTGGCAAAACCACCAGAGGCAGGGCCCCCGGCCTTGCTGGAGCGGCGAGGAGTGTATGCAAGGCCTTCATCGTCTACAGCATCCTCCCCACCACGGCGGCGGTCTACACGCGCACAATGAGACATGAGCCCCAAATCAGGCCAAAGCTCTCTGATATTCAATTATGGAGCACTGGCCAAATGACCATGCGAGAGCAGCTTGTTGCTGCCCACACGAGGCTCATTCTTGAAGCCCCGCTACAACACGGATCTGGGGAAGCGGTGCTCCCCGTCTACGCGGTCACCCCTCCAGGTGCTCCTCTACCAGATCATGAGAATGAGGAGACTGCAGAGACAACCTTTGAGGAGGCGCATGTCACGGCATGGATTGCTAGCCCCTTCTTTGAAAGCGAAATCGTCGATGCCTACCTGGCCTTCCCGCTCAGCGTTGAACGACTTAAGGACACCATCAAAGAGGCTTGTGCAATCATGCCCCACTATGCGGATGAATATGTCCCAACCTCCCCTCAGATCAGCGACCACTTTGCCAGCTTCATTGCCCTTCCTGGATGGATTCTCCACACAGACAAGGTTGGGCTAGTGATGGACTGTCGCCTTGTTGGAGGCACGGTTTTCGCTTTCTTCACGGAAGGGCCGCTTACTCTCCAGTGCGTTCGGCAACACCTGAACGACCTACAGGTGGAGGAAATCGATGCCTTCCCTTTCGGGGACCCCAACCCTCTCCTCGAAGGCTTCCCGGTCGCTCCAGTTGTTGGCGGTGTAGTTCAAATTACAGGGCGAGGCGGAACGCCTCGCTGGTCAGACACCCTCGAACATCGCTTACAGCATCCCAGGCGATGGAACCCCACAGTGGAGCCCCCAGGTGCAAGAGATGGACTCCACTCGGTTTACCAGTCGTCTGAAGATCAAGTTGTGGAACTCATAGAGTCGGATGACGAAAGACCGCTTGAGGTTGCAGCCGCGGAGGCCCTGGAGATCAACCACTACGACATTGCTGTCCACGCCCCCAATACGAGAGTCAGAGGCCTTTCGCTTTCCGGCCGGCGCATTTGGTCTCAAATTGCGGTCTTAGAGGCTGACCAGCCGGAGCCCGGAGACACAATTGTCGCCTTCCTGGACTTGAGGGGGCTGGGGTATTTTCCACAATGGGTCCAGCTGCCACTCCCCCTTTTCAGCCCAAAGGAGTACCTAGATGGCCTCCAAATCGGTGAAGTTCCAGGGATGTTGCAGTTAATGGCGGCGAACCGTCCTTAGACGGCCCATGGATAAAACTCGAGCATGGGGAGGTCATCGAGCTCTTCATGCAGAAGCTTGAGTCCAGTTCGGAAGGCACCGAAACCAGCCACCAGGCTAATGAGGATGGCGAGTCCGAGGACAGCAGCTACACGGACCCCCTCCCGCACTCTTCAGACTTCTCTGATGGGCCGAGTCCAGCCGGTCCGGGTCCCTTTGGACCCCCTCCCCCACAGCCTGTCTCAGGCGACCGCAGCCGAAGCCCCAGACGAAGCTCTTCGCTGCATTCCATTGAATGCAAGGCTGACGCTGACCATAGCCCGTCTGAGCTGAAGATAGCAGACCATCTACCGGTACAGGAGCACGACCTCACGCAGGAGACGATCCTACTACCGGATGTCCAAGACAAAGCCCTTTCCCTGATGCGGCCATGGTCTCCTTCATGGCTGAAGGCTGATCTCCACTCATGTGAGCTCAAGTCCTCTACTGCCAAGCGAGTCGCCGAACTCGTGCACTGGTCGGACGTTCTGGGCGCCAACGAACAAATTGAGCTCAGCATTTATACAGATGGCTCCTGGCTCTCCTCCAAGAAGCTTGGAGGCTATGGTGTTGTTCTATTACTCGCGACCACCACGGCCACTGCAATCTTTGGTTTGTTGGGGGAGCAAACTCAGGGAAATGACCTCTCACCATGGTGGTTTGAGGCGCCTCCTGCGTTAAAGAATGAGCAGATTGCCATTGGTGCCGCTCTGCTCTGGATCGTGCAGGTACGAACCTTCTTCTGGCCAGAGTCCATCTCGATCCACTACGACTGCCTGGCTGCTGGCCTTCCGACGCAAGGAGAATGGCCATGTACAACAGACTTCGCCCGAAGACTACGTGATCTTCAACGATGGGCCGACACCATGCTGCCTGCACCGATCAAGTACAGGCACGTCAAAGCCCACGTAGGCGAGCCCTACAATGAGCTCGCTGACTCGGTCGCAAAAGCGGCGGCACAGGGCATCTCCTTTGCGGCCCCACCGGCAAGCGCAATTGCTGTCCTGTTGAATGCCGACCTCTCCTGGCTCTCTCTCACCTCTTCTCCCCGACTTGACGCTGCCTATCCCTGGGCCGAGGGCCCAGCTCTGAGATGGCACAGAGATGAGCACGAGCTGTCCAACCTCCAGCCGCAACAGCTCATCCCTACCACTGCCAGAGCCTTTGATCAAGCACGTCGAGATGGTGTTGATTTTGAGACTGTGGTGGTAACTTGGAATGTCCAAGGACTAGGTGGGCAGCACCGCTACATTGAGGAACAGCTACAAGAGGTCAAATGCGGCATTGCTCTCCTCCAAGAAACAAAGCAGCGATCCAGTCTCTGCTCATCCTCCCGCTTCATTCGCTTGGCCACGGACTCCGCGAAATATTGGGGGGTCGCCGTCTGGCTCAGCAAGCTTGAGGGAGCGATTAAAGTTGGAGGCAGTCCTGTGCAAGTCAGGGAGCCTGACCTGCATGTATGCTATGAGTCGCCGAGGCTGCTTATCATCTCGGTTACCATCGGCAACACGAAGATCATCATCTTTTCGGCACACTGCCCCCACAGTGGGCAGAGGGAGGAAGCCAGGAGCTTCCTTCAACATCTCAGGCGAGAACTCCAGCCCCACAGCAGCGCTGCCCTCATCATTGGTGGCATTGACCTCAACGGACGTATGACAGTCGATGTCCCCGGGGTAACTGGCGACCTGCAGTATGGAGATCAAGATGAAACGGGCGCTGAGGCAGCTGACCTTTGCAAGGATCTTGGACTATGGGTGCCTACTACCTACAGCAGATACCACCGCGGGCAGTCAGCTACTTTTCGCCACCCCCAAGGTACGGAGCACCGCATCGACTACCTTTTGCAGGGAGGAGCCGCCGCGGTGCATGAAGCCAGCAGCAGAGTCCTGACAGACTTGGACTCGGGCGGTGTAGGTGACGACCACTGGCCAGTCTTGGCAATCTTCAGGGGCATCCTTCAGCCCATCAAGGACATTGTCCGCCTTTGGAGGCCTAGATATGACACCAGAAAGATGCTGACTAAACAAGGAAAGGAGGCCATTACAGAAGCCATGCTCTCGTACGTGCCTCCACAATGGTCAACCCACCCCGATGACCATTGTCAGCATCTCACCGAGTTCCTCCATGGCATCATGCGGCGTCACTTTACAAAGGCCCTAGATGGCCCAAGAGCTTCCTACATCCCAAACATTGTCTGGGACAAGAGGCGGGAAAAGATCAGCTTCAAGGCAAGGGTGAGACACAGAGCTAGTCTCTCGAAAGACCTCCTGCTTCGTGCATTCCTACAATGGGGAAAACAAGAGGACTATGGCTTCGTTGACCTTGTTGCAAAACAAGGTCTGCTTTACCAGGTTGCGGCCTTCGCCATCAAGTTTGTCACAAGGGACATCAAAACAGGCGTCCGCAAAGCCAAGGAAGATTTTCTTCGATGCATCGCCTCCGATGGTGGTGGCACAGCAGCCGATGTCCTCAGCCGTATTAAGTCGGCAGGGGTTGGTGGATCCATGGCTCGTCAACCCTTCAAGCCGCTGCCTCTGCTGTATGCAGAAGAAGGCCAACCAGCTACATCCTGCAGAGACCGTGACTCCTTGTGGCTCCACCACTTTGGGCAGCAAGAGCTCGGCACGGTCCTAAAGACAGCCGACTTCTTGGCCGAGCCCTTCCACCCGATCTACGTTGATGAGGAGATCAACTGGAGCACAGAGGTGCTACCTAGTCTTGGAGACGTCGAGCAAACTCTGAGGTCCCTGACCTCAAGGAAGGCACCGGGGCTTGATGCCATCCCCTCGGAGCTCCTAAAAGCTGCACCAGGGCCGACTGCAGCTGCAGTCCACAGCCTCTTCCTCAAGTCCATGCTCACCCTCCGCCAGCCTCTTCAGTGGAATGGGGGTATACTCTTTGAATGCTGGAAGAGATCTGGATCACAATCTGACCCGGCCATGTACAGGTCGTTGTATGTCAGCTCCATGCTGGGCAAAACCTACCATAAGCTGCTGCGCAACAAAGTCCAGTCGGAAGTTGATGCCGGGCTGCACAGCTTTCATTTGGGAGCCCGGCGGGGCACGCCTGTCAGCATGCCCTCCCTGTACATCCTGGCGCACATCCGCAAATGTGCCAAGAAAGGGATCTCTTCATCGATCCTTTTTCTCGATACACACGCTGCTTATTATAGGATCATTCGCCAGCTTGCACTGGGGCATCTCCACAACGACACTGAAGTTCTCCAGGTCTTCAAGCGTTTCAGCCTCGAGCCCTCCGACGTCCACGAGCTCATGGACGAAATTAACGCAGGAGGCATGCTCCGGGACGCCCACGTTGACCCTGCCATAAGACACACAGTGAAGGACATGCATCGGCGCTGCTGGTTTGTTTCAGCCTACTCGGCGGGTGACAAGTTGTGCAGCACAGCGGCTGGGAGCCGACCTGGAGAATCATGGGCGGACATCGTCTATGCGTTTGTCTACTCCCGTGTTCTCCACCGCATCGGGGAAAACGCAAGAGGTGAAGGACTACTCGATGTTGTACACACCGATTTGTCCGAGGGCCCCTACGCTGATGAACAAAGCGGCATCCCGCAGGAGGAAGGGGACGCCACCTGGGCGGACGATTCAGCCTGGCCAGTCTCAGGGGACACCCCTCTTGGGCTCCTGAACAAGACGCGGCGGCTTTGCTCCCTTGTCCTCAGCAGCTGCTATCAGCATGGAATGCAGCCCAACCTACGCCCAAACAAAACCTCGGTCATCTTCGCCCTGCGAGGACAAGGCAAAGTTGCAGCGAGGCAGCGGATATTTGGCCACGCCAAAGCGACGCTAAGACTGCCAGACCTTGACAAGGAAGTCCCCGTTGCGCTTCAGTACAAGCACTTGGGCGGCATCGTGGACTGTCGCAACACCATGGCAGCGGAAGCTAAGAGAAGGCTTGGCATCGCTGCCACAGCATTTAAGCAAGGTCAGGACCTCCTCTACCTCAATGTGACCATCAAGCTGCAGGTGCGAATGCAGCTCTTTGCCGCCACGGTGGGGGCCACCTTCCACAACCTTGCACAATGGATTCCCTCTGGCCAGGATTGGGATATATTGTCTGGTGGATACACACGTCTCCTCCGACGTCTGCTGGCCAAGGAATTCCCGGGCGAGACGGCTCTGCGCATCCCGCCGGCGCTTGTGCATATCATCTCGGGGTCCTGGACCCTAGAGCTTCTTGCCAGGAGGGCCAGGCTCAGTTTGCTCGGATCCCTGGCCAGAGCAGCGCCTGATCTTCTGTGGGGAGCCCTGCAGGAGGAACAGACATGGCTTGCTGTCATCAGGGAAGACCTACAGTGGCTCGTGGACAAGGCCGCTGATGACTGGCCAAAACTCCATGGTGCTGCATGGCCAGAATGGAGGACCCTCTTCGTCAATGCCAATGATTGGGTAAAACGAAGAACGAAACGGCGGCTCAAAGAGGACTTCGAAAGCTTCTGTGTGCGGCACAAGATCACCCTGACCTTGTGGGCTGTCTACAAGAAACTTGAGGCGGCCCTCCCAGGGGTTGCCGAACCCCCATCCACCTGGACCTGCCGACCTTGCGGGCGCTCATTTCGGTCTAGAGGCGGGTTGGGAGCACACTTCTTCAAAACACACGGACGACGTGCTGGATACAGAGCTGTGGTGGAGGGGGTAACCTGCCAAGCCTGTGGGAAAACTTACTGGTCCACGAACAGACTATCCAGGCACCTACGTGACTCCAGGAGATGTGTTGCCACCCTTCGCAGTCATGGCTTGATTGTCAAACAATGTGCTCCAGGCTTTGGAAGTAAGCTGTGGAAGAAAAGGGAGGTCGATGACTACAACCCCAGCGTCCCAATGGACTTAACATCTCCGCTCGAGCCCGGTGCAGACTCTGGATGGGACGAAGTCCAAAAAGCAGCCCATGCGGACCTCTGCCACGCCATTCTTGATCGTCATCTACCAGCAGATGAAAGCTGCGTTCTCAACATTATTAAGGAGACCGTTGGCAAGTTCCCCCTCTACCAGGACGAGATGGACGACATCGTCGACCTTGTCCGGAACGAGGCTGCTGAGGTCGGTGCGGAGCTCATGGAGGACTTTTGGACGACGGAGATCGCGACGATTGTCGACAAGGCCCTGCAGAGCTTCCTCAATGATGAGTGGCTGACTGATGAGACGGAGCGGCCTGACCCGCACAAGGGCATGACTCATGCGGCTCTTGCGAGCCAGATTGATAGTGTCCAATGGGAACAAATCTGGGAAGCCACCAAAGAGCTTCACGGGACCCCTGAAGACTGCACCTTTAAACTGAGCTCCAGCTGGGAAACCGAGTGGCGGAGCCTAAGTGGTGTAGTTGATGTCTCGGTCGTGAATGGCCACCTTTGGGGCTGGCTACCGAAAGTCCTGCGGGAAGCTGTACACAAGGCTCTTCAAGGGCACAGAGTGACCCTTCATGCCCCCGCTTCCTTTTGGCAGCACCAGATTTCAGCGCCTTTTGCGCGGTTTGCACCTTTGCATCCTAATTAGGTCGCGTACTCCTCTGATGTCACGCAAAGTGCAAAAAATGTATGTATGTATGTATGTATGTATGTGTGTATACATATACATATACATATACATATACATATACATATACATATACATACGCATATAGATGTACATATACATATACATATACCTGTACATGTACATATACATATACATATACATATACATATACATACAGTTACATACATATACAGACAGAAAGACAGACAGACAGACAGACAGACAGACAGACAGACCGACGGACGGACGGACGGACGGACGGACGGACAGACAGACGGACGGATACCCAGACACACAGACACACAGACACACAGACACACAGACACACAGACACACAGACACACAGACACACAGACACACAAACACACACAGACACACACGCACACACACACACACACACGCACACACACACACAGACACGCATAATCTAGCGACAAAACAACCGCCAATTGCTTTCGTTATTGGTCTCTATGATCTCTGCGCAGCAGAAAGATTGTCCACGACGCGATTCTGCCGTTCGGGGACTGGCTGACAGGCAATCTTTTCGAGACGTCTGAACACGAACTAACTTAACCTCAACACTCGGCCATTGAACCCAAAACCCTACAGCCTAAGCTCTAAACCCAAAAGCCCAAGCAAGCTCCACAATATAGTTCGGGTCCTTGAAGGAACATGATTAAGAAACCCTGGTCCCCATAACCCCCCGAAATGTTAGGATTCATAGGGTTTCTTAACAGGGATCCTATATTAAGATGCATGTCGGCTAGAGCAGCACGAAACCACAAACAGGAGGCCTTGTAGGTGGCGGGTTCAGCATCGCTGCTGCCCTGTGCCCCCGCGATATTTTGCGAGAAGGCTTTCGCCTCGAGTTCCGGACTTCGGGCATGGGGGTTCAGGGTTTGGGGTTTTGGGGCTAGCGCTTCGTGGTTGCCGTTTAGGATTTAGGGTTTAAGGATGTTATCTGGCTGCCTGCAAGTTCGAGCATTAACACTCCGCAGCAGGATTGAGAGAGTCGGATTCATGGCATGCATGCTTTGGCCCCAAACCCTCAACCCTGAGCAATGAAGCCGGACAACAGTGGCACAGCCTGTGAGAGATTGTGGGATGTACTTGCAGGCTCAGGCGTGGGAGGGTGGTTTACGATGGTTCTACTGCTCACCGTAAATCCTCACCCGAAATCCTCAACCCTATATATTCCAAACCCCCAGCCCTAAATTCAAACTGTCACCCTGGATTCTAAACCCTCACCCTAAGTTCCAACCCTCAACGCTCAACCCTTAACCCTGACCCCTAAACCCTAAACCCAAAGCCCCTGAACCCTAAACCCTTAACCCTGACCCCTAGATCCTATTCCCCAAACTTAAACCACGCAAGCCCCCAGAGTCGAACCTTAAGGATAAACCCGAAGCCCTAAACCCCAAACCCTAATGTTGGGGCCGTAATAATTAATATAGGGTTTGGGGGGCTCCTTAT